GAGAGAGACTGAGACTGACAGACTGACAGACAGAGAGAAAGAAATATTGCTCCACCATTCTTTAAGCACAGACATTGATATATTACCACTAATGACTGTTATTAACCCAAGTCCGTAGCAATCAGTAAGGGTCATGAGGTAATAGCTATTGCACAGTAGAACAACCGTTATTACTACTGAAGATTATCGAAGACCGATTTCTTTCTTCATATTTTTCTCAGGTAGGTCTAGTTTTCTTTCACACTCGAGTATGGTTATAATATGCCTGTATTATATAAATAAAGAGTTATCTGTAGTATCATAACAGACCTTTAATAACTTTCACTTCTTTATCTGGCATTATGTTGGAGTACCACTTTAGGATTATGGTCATGAGCATAATATATATAGTATTTGGGATTCATGGAGTAATATTTATAATATTTTTTCATGCACTCAAATTGGAAATACGGCTTATCAGTTAATTACTTTAAGTAACTATTAAAAAATATATTTTGATCTTGGTCCATAATGCTTATCTACTTCAAAAATAGGCTTAAAATTTCACTCAGTCTTTATACAAATCTACTGGTCACTTTATGGATAGGTTACTAAAACTATTTCTAAAGGGTTGTGATACAAACAACGGACTAAAAAATACACCTCAAATGGTTTTCTTTTGTGCGTAAACAGTCGAATTATGTGACACATCTTTATGGCTGGCATTGGTTCCGTATTGATGCCGTTTGTCACGTGACGGCGAGCTTATGAGATTCGTAGGAAGGGAAAGTTATGACCACTGGCATGGCATTTCCTCTTACCCATTTCCTCGACGTATGTAGAAAAGGTATTTCATGAGGCAAGATTTGTACTTCGAATCGTAATATAACATCTCGGTCAAGATAATATTACAAAGATGATGATGTAATATAGAAACATCTTATTGTGGATTATGGAATAACTTTTTTTTTCCTTTAATACCTTTTCTACATTCGCCACAATAAATTCCGCTCCGTCTAATAACAAAAAAATAGAAGAGGTGAACACGTAAATAAAAAGTGTGTAGCAAAACGATAGGATTTATTTCTTTTAAATTTTTTAACATGCCATCAATGGGACATTTTACAACACAGTTCACGATGCTCTGCGAGAAAATCAGTTTGGCTGGAAAATGCAAAGTTCATTGGGGAAGGTGACGACAAAGAGAACGATCCGGCAACTGAGAGAAGCTCCGGGAGGGAAGCTAGAGAGTAGCATCAATGGTTGGCTCTTCGGTTCGACAGTCGACGGTCATTGGCCCTTTCTTTGGATGTCCTTGGAGGTCTGACTTCACAGGACGCCTCTCGAAAACCGCTTGGATTTGTGCTAGTGTCACTTATCTATATGATATATAAATATAAACATTTCTTAAGACTCTCATCGAAGCTATGATATGCAATGAAATTCATTTATCTCTATATCTGTGATGTTTACATCTTTTGATCAGTTCAAAGAGGAGCAAAGTAACTTCAGATATGAAGAGACAAAAAGGTTGATTTTGAATCAACTCATCCATACAGCAGAAATGCAAAGTATAAAGGGCTTAACCGATTTTTTCTTGGCTTTTCTTGGAGTGAAAAAATAAGTGCTGACTAATTGTAAGCAGACACTCGATACACTGAATAGGCACTAAAGTACATGACAACAAACTATCCCCCATGAATGAGCCTTGTTCTGCAACTACACAAACACAAGCGTGTGATGAAAAAGCCGAGTTCCACTTATATCCACATTAACCCCAGACACATGATCCTTTGTAAACAAGAGAGATGACTGGTATATTCTACTCTACTTAAATATATCGTGTGTGTGTGTGTGTCCATGTATGTATAAGTCTATAAACATACACAGACACATATACCAGACCCATCGTACCAAGACAATGCTTATATATATGGTCTGATAGCCCATTCCATTACTCCCTCAGTTGTCGGTGAAATACAGTATAGTACAACAAAATAGGACTCACCATCAATGTTTTACAAAGTCACGGTGTAAAACAACAAAAGTTATGTCATTTAATGAGCTTGGAGAGCAAACAGTGTTTACATAGAGTAATATTAAACAATAAAAATGTATCAGCACATTCACTTCAAATGTGACGTAAAAGTCACCAACAAATAATAATTATAAATCTTGATTACACAAACAAATAACATGGATTGATAGCAAGGTGGTTATTTATATATATTTTTAAAATTCTTAGCACAGTTTTATTTCAACACTGAATACAAAACAAACATGCAGCCTTCCAGAAAAGGGGACACAAAACTTACATTGTGGCCTCGCCATTGAAGAAAAATTTGGACTGGAAGGTTTATCTACAGGAAATATGTTTCGTCAATAAAACAAAAAAATATTAATGAAAAATAAAGGGAAGGTATTTTTTTTAACTACTTTGGAAGTGTTTGGTCTAGGATAGAGTAAGGATGCTTCGAGTAAAAGGCATTGAAAATTCAGTTGAAGGATAGTTGATAAAAAGGAGTTTCATATCAGAAGATAGGTGCACGTCCTGAAGTGGTAGGAAGCTTCGTGTGCTAGGAACAGTCAGTGACCACCTATCTGAATAGTTGATCTTTCTTTTACACCAAAGTTCTAACTCTGAGAACACCAGATGAACGCCATGAGAAGTGAAACTTAAGTTAATGGAGTGAGACAGCTTTCGAGAGGAGGAGTAATAGTTTTTTAAAACCTTAGACAACAGTTCAACCTGAAATTGTACACTGTGATGTACATAACAATATTTATAGTATATACAAACATTAATCTGCAATTTTCTCTTCATAAATGCTTGTGCTGTTTCAACAACAACTTGCTTTACTTAGGGATATAACATTCACGGAAATTGGTATAGAAGGGAACACTTTCTTCATACTGAGTTTATTATTAGCTTCTGACCCTACTAGACCTTTCAATATATTTATTATACCTCTCCTAATTATATATACACTGTACAACACATATAGCATGTGAAGTGGTTCTGACACATATCTCATTGATACACATTTTTATTTTGAAATATGAAAGTTCTAATGGTCTAAATACCAGCAGAATTAGTTTACAGAAGCCCTAGTCATCCCTACAAGAGAACTAGGGCAGATCACCTGATACAGAATTCATTTTCTCGCGTCTCTCCCCAAAGATCATGTACATCCCTAAGATGCTAGCCAGAATCATCATAACAATAATAATGATAAGAAAGACTCAAGAACCACAAATGCGATTGAGAAGAAACAAAGGTCTTTGTAAAGTCTTCTTTTTTTTTAATTAACTACAAAACACAAGATTGCAGAAATATGATATTTTATGAATGATTTCCCCCCCTTCACTGCATACTTTCTGAGCTTGATCTAAATAGGAAGTAGAAATGAACGATCATTGTAAAGGTAAAAATTTCGTATAAAGTAAGGGCTGTGCCTGATTAAAAAATGCACATTCACTAAATTAAGTTGTTATCCACTAACAAAAAACAAGAGTCACACTACGCTTTACAAATGATGATTAGTTTGTTAGAAAAACAAAGGGAATCTAAACAATAGATGATGATATGTTATATTTATCAACTAGATAAATCTATCAAATCCTGTAACTAGATAAATGTATACCAGTACTTATAACTCGTGCTCTTTTCTCAAATATCAGTATATCCTTATTTCACCAAAAAAAGAAAACTATGCTAAATCACATTATCAGTATTCAACAATATCATATCAAACGCAAAGTGATGTTCAATTGGCATGTGTAACAATGCAGTCACAGACAGCATCAGAATAAATATACTATTTCTTAATAACCATTAACCATTTTATTTTGCTGTTTGACCCCAGAGTCAATGGAATACCATTCTTAGTTACCTAAAGGTGAAATACTAATATTGATGATATGCATATTTCTTTGTAGCAACTAAGAAAGACAAGAGGATAGCACAGTAGTAAAAAGTAGAATGTCCAGGGCTTGTCACTGTGCTGATATTAGGGTCAACCGAGTTGAGCAATGATGCCAGAAAGTATGCACGAGTCCCCTTCTAAAACCAAAAAAGAAAAATAGAGAAAAAGGGAAAGCACACGCTGTTGGTCAGCCTGTGTGCCAGCGTCCTGGGGCATCGATTCTCTTGCAAACTCAAGAGAGAAAAAGGAACGCCCTTGAAACAGTGAACTTGAAATAACACGAAAAGAATGGACTTCAACGTCAAGTTAGACAGGGCATGGTGAACTAGAGAACTTACAAGGCATGCTTTTTGTGGAGTGCCCGAACTCCGGCTCTGCCATGACTTCACCAACTGCACTACACAGCACATGGAGTCAGTCCGTCATTGCCTAGACTGACGACGAACACTCCTTCGAGAGAGGAAAAAAACATGCCAGAAGTTCAACAAAATAATATGATGGCTTGGACTCCAGAGTCTTGTTTATATAACATTTCTTGCCAATATGACACTTATTGTCATGACTTCGACACATTGGAGATTCCCAAGACTTGGGCGAGTCCACATTCCGACAAGCTGGACGGTAATGACCAACTTCAGAGGAAAAGTACACAACCTTTGAGCTCCCTTTCCAGTGTACATCATTGACCACAATAAAAAATGAAATGTACAAAACAAGAGAAAAAATACTGAAATATTTACCACATATTATAAACTTCAAACTTTCTGTAAGGCAACCGTGATATTTATTTGAATGCAGCAGAAAGAGTTGTGTTGGTTCCCCTGCAAGCTGGTGACTGGTGGCGTTGTAGAAGTGTGTAGGGCGGGGTGGGTTGGGGTGGGCGGGCAGCCAACAGCAGCGGGGCCAGGAACCCACCGTGAACAGGAGCCGCGGGGCCCGGGGGAGGCCCTCCGGCGCCCCTGGCTCGCTGGGGAATGGTACAGTAAGGCAGTGAGCGTTGCCACCATCACTCTAGCAACTGGTACTCCCTCGACCATCGCTTTCAACTCTCGTCGCTTGTTCCGGCGCCGAGTTGCCGCGACACGACTTTACAGAAACGAGAGTTGGTAATGCGGGCAGGCTGCTGCCCTGCGCCAGCTGCCTGCCCGCCTCCCTCGGGGCCGGGCATCAGGGTGGGGCTCAGTGAGGGCGCAGGGGCAGCCTTCGCGCGGGCACGGCCTCGGGGGCGTCACGGTGCGGTACAAAACTAGTATAAAGGGAGGTTCATGGAAGCTACTGGCCACGTGAACCACGCGCACGGCCCGGGTGGGCGACTGGGCTCAGCATGCACTTGACGCATGCGCAACTCAGTAACAAAATGCTACCTAGGCATCTCTAATAAACTGCAAGCATAGGCAGCCACTTCTATCACGAGGCCAGCAGCATGTGTTCCGCCGCGGCCAGGGCGGCGAGCGCGAGCGCGGCGAGGAGGACGAGGGGCGGGCAGTGCGCGATGGCGGCGGCGGCGGGCAGCGGGGGCACGCGCACCTGCACCTCCGCCAGGATGAGCAGCGACAGGGCCATGTCGGCGCGGATCTCGGGGTCGTGCTCGTTGATCATGTTCTTCACCTCCGTCACCGAGTCCTCGCACTCCTCCTGCAAAGCACGCGGGTCAGTGGGCCTCGGGGTCGGAGGAACCTAAGGCAGTCCTCTGTGTCCTACTCTTTACGCTAGGCAAGTCATATCAAGGTTGATGACGCCATTAATCAAGAAGTAACAAATTAAATATTCTGGAAAGTCTACTTCCGATCTATTGTATAATAATAATTCATTAATCATTATCATTATTTTTCATGATTATTCTACCTCCAAGTCAAAGCTAATAAAGTGTCTTAAGTAATAAAAAGAAAATCCTACAAAGCATCCCCCGCAAACTCACCTTAATCTCAATTTAATAATACTTTAATTTAATAATAATAATAAAAATGCCCAAGAAGGAGACCACTCCGAGAGGGAAGCCACAAACCTTCTCCTTGTGAAGCATGATCGCGGACATGTTATCTCGAGTGTAGTCGAACTCCTCGAGGGTGGCTTGGAGGATGATGTTCTCTCCGATGTGCTCGATCAGGTCCAGCTTGCACGCCGTCTGGAGGGTGAGGTGGAGGCGTTAGGAAGAGATGGTTTAAGGGCGATTTTCGTTTGGAGTAGTGGACTATGGGGGGGAGGGGCGATGACCAATAAATAATTATTGTGTCTGATCTATTTCCAAGTTTGGTGGGCTAGATTTTTTTTTCTTTTTTTAAAACAAAACTGCCCTTACTTGAGATACGGTTGATGAGTAAATAATGAAAATTACTTTTCAAATTACATTATCTTCATATGAAATAGTTTGCAAAACTGTATCTGAATCATGTAAAGGAAAAATCACAGAATATATTAAGCATAAAGCTGGCATAAAAAAGACTGCAATTTTTAAGGGCATAAATAATCACACTAAAATTACCTGAGCATAAACTAGTGGCTAGCAAAACAAGCATAAGTAATAGTAACAGCTAATGAACAGGACCTCGCAGGTAGTAGTTCCACTTATGAAAACTTGATAACTGCTCGGCCAAGAAACCAAGAATTGTGGCAAACGCTAATACTGTTTATTCTTACCAAAAAGCTAATCTAGGTGGGAAAAATACGGAACTGAAAATGGCGAGTGCAGTGCTAAGTATTGGGGTTGTAATGAGATGTTAGATCGGTCTATCTACGTGTTCAACTGCGTTCCGTGTGTGGATGTTTTTCTCGGCGGTTTAATGGAGCTGTGAAGTTTTATTAGGATCAGCTTTCTGGTGGGCGGGGGTGGTTACTCTGGCTATTTCCTGCACATGGACACAAACACAGACACAGGCACACACAAACAATCGCAGACACACAAACAGACAAACGCACACGCACAAACAGACAAACGCACACGCACAAACAGACAAACACACACGCACACGCACACACACGAAGGGTCTGCTAGCTTTATCTTTTTACATGTGTGCGGGAAAAGCATTTTAGTATCAGACACTTTGCAATCTAACATTATGTGTTGTTTAGTGATTATTTTGTGCACCATTGGATTAGTCTATAATAAACATATATATATATACACATTTTCAGGTCACTGTGCTTTGCATTATGCAGTCATTTGTACTCCCTTAATAATTCAAAGTATTTCTAGAACAGAGACCTTTTCCTCAGTTTCACCCATTTATCATGTCTGGATTTCCATATATAAAAGATGGATCACTTGAGTGGGTGAGAAATGCTTCTAAAAAACTCTCATTCAAGAAGCATGAGATGAGATAGATCGAAAAGACCGTCTCTTATCAGGTCTTAAAGAAGAGTCTCTTTTCCTTCAACTGAACCCATTTTCCTCACAGCAGAATACAACTTCCTCATACTAAACCTATTTTTCCTCACATTAACCCGTGTTTTCTCTCAAAACAGAACCCCCTTTTCCCCCTCACACAAGAACCATTTCCCCTCATAACTTAATCCTTTTTTCCTTTACAAAAGAACCCCCTTTCCCTCACACAAGAACTCATTTCCCCTCATAACTTAACCCCTTTCTTCCCCTCACAACAGATCCTTGAAGGAGGAGGTTTTCATCACCTTTTTGTGCCGAGCGTCCACGCTACTTACTCGGCGGCCGCGCTGCATGGAAGGTGTAAAGACAACATTAAAACTATTTGTTATTTTGGAAGTCGTGTGTTCTGGCGTTTGGGAGTAGGTGGGGGGGGGGAGATGAGAGAGGTCTGGGGGGGGGGACAAAGGGAAGGAGGAGAATCAGGGGGAAAGGGAGTGGGGACACGAAGGGCTGGAGTGGGCTGAATGGGTGGAGGGTGTTATAACGAACAGGTGTTCTTCCTTCGGGATTGGTTATTCTGAATGCGATCCAAAGAACACCGGGAACGAGAAGGGGGGGATGGAGAAGGAATGAGACAAGACAAACAGTAGGACGAGCCTCCCCCTACTGTGACAAATATGAAAGAAATGAGTTGCAGGCTTTTGCTATTCAAATCCGAACGGGCTGGGTGCTTTGCTGAGCTAAGAGCGTGGCGGCAAATTAACGCATTTTTGATCATTTTTAAAAAATCTCTTATGAATCTACACTACCATGTGATTGCTAATGAAAAATGTCTTTTTATTCTAGCTCCTGAAGTAGTATGCAGGAGTGAGCAAAACTGACTGGGCCAATCAAAACACTAGCCATGCTTTCCGTACCAACCAAAAGGAAAAATAACACATGAATCTGATTTCTAAAAAAGTTGCATGTTAGTAGCTGGATCAAAGAGACTGGACAGCTAAACAGAAAACAATGCAGTCGATTAAGCTAATACATATCCAGTGTTACATGTTATATGAGCAATATCTCTGAACTGTCAAAGAAATGATATATATGTAAGAAGAGGCAGCTGCAAGACGAAAAAAAAAAAACTCACTCAAAAAAGTCCCGAGTGTTCAAACGTCAACCAACTTACGCCATTCATGATTTCCGCCGTGTCTCGCACCAGCTTCCCGAGCTTGACCAGGGCGGCGTCAACGAGGGAGGCGGTCTTCGTGTAGGGTTTCAGTAACTTCTCCTCCTTCTTGCTATAGCCGAGGAACAGGTAAACTCCATAGTCCACCTCGTACTCTTCTGCAAAGGAGGCGGCCATTTCAAAAGGTGGGTATTAAAAACAAACAAACGGGCATTTCAAAAAGTCGGGTATTAATTAAAAAAGGCGGGCATTTCAAAAGGTAGGTATTTAAAAAAGGCGGGCATTTCAAAAGGTGGGTATTAAAAAAAAAGCGGGCATTTCAAAAAGACGGGAATGTCAAAAAGGCGGCCATTTAAAAAAAAGGAGAACGTGAAGGCTAATTCTAGGTATTTATGGTTGCTGAATAAAAGTACTATCATCTGGTGAGCAGATTCCAGTTTGAAGGGACACTCTTGTTTAAATGGCCGCCTTTTTGACATTCCAGTTTTACTAGGTATCATTTAATTTGTGGGAATCTGTTTTCATGATACCAGTTTATATGTTTATATTCATATCATAAACAAAACAATAAAAATAAACGAATATAGAAAACCATAACAACAAAGCCTGTGTTTTTATTCATAATAAAATCTAAAAAAAATCCACGACCATGAATCTTTGCCAAAAAATAGGAAAAAAGAAAGAAAAAAGAGAAAAACTTGCTTTGCTCGGGCCTGACGCAGATGAAGGAGCCCGAGTAGCAGAAGCACTCCCCGCGCATGGCCTGGTAGGCGGGCGCGGCGTGGGCGTAGACGGCGAAGTCAGTCTCGCACGGCTTGGCCTCCACGCACTCCAGGACGCTGCAGGCGAGCTTCTCGTCGGCGTGGCAGATGCACAACTCCGAGCACTCCTCGTCGCTCTTGTAGTAGCGCCGCCCGCCGCCCTCCATGATGTAGTCCTCCTTCTCGCTCGGGCCGTGGGCCTTCACGCAGTACTCTGGGGTGGGGAGGGGGGGGTTAGGTGGATTGGCGGTCTGTGTGTGTCTGTTTATCTATCTAATTGTCTTTACATACATACATATATATATTTACTTATTTATTTTCTCTCTCATTTCTGTCTGGTTACCTGTCCTGATTCATTCTCTCTCTCTCTCTCTCTCTCTCTCATACTCTTTTTCTCATTCTCTTTCTCTTTCTTCTCACCTCTCACTCTCTCACTCTCTCTCTCTCTCTTCTCTCGCTTCTCTCTTTCTCTCGCTTTCTCTCGCTTTCTCTCTCTCTCTTTCTCTCTCTCTCTCCTCTCTCTCCTCTCTCTCTCTCTCTCTCTCTCTCTCTCTCTCTCTCTCTCTCTCTCTCTCTCTCTCTCTCTCTCTCTCTCTCTCTCTCGTGTCACCAACTTTCCCGTCTTCTACCGCCTGCACCAGCACGAGGCGCCCGCGGACAGCGCCGCCCCCGACACCTACTCGGTGGGACGGTGGTGGTGGTCGTGGTCGTCGTCGAGGTGGTGGTCGTCCTTGGCGCGCGCGTGGGCAGCGTCGAAGTCGTGCCTGACGGAGGGTAGATGACCACCGGCCGAGTGCCTGACGGGTTGCCGTTGCTCTGCACTGGCTCGCTGATCACGCCCGTCGTCACGATGGAGGTGTAGGCGATGTTGGCGCTGGTGGTGAGCTCCTCCCGGGGGTCCAGCGTGCTCAGCATGTCGCGGTGGTAGTCCGTCTGGGCCTCCACTGCGGGCGGAGGGCAGGGGTCAGATTGTCAGGGGGTGGGGGGGGGAGGAGGGAGAGGAAGGGGGAGATGGTGAGGGGGGTGGTGAGGGGGAGGGGGGAGGGGGGAGGGGAGGGGGGAGGGGGGAGGGAGATGGTGAGGAGGAAGGGAGAGGAAATGGTGGGGGGAAGGAGTAGAAAAAAGGAGGAAAGGGACAAAGGGAGGGTAGGGGGTGAGATGGTGAGGGGAAAGGGGAGAAGAAGGTGATGGGGATTGGATGGTAGAGAGGAAGGTGGAGGGGGAAAGGAAGCAGTGAGGGGAGAGAGGGGAGAGAGGGGGGAGGTTCCAGACGGTACTGACAGAGAGGAGAGAGCTAGTAAATTAACACGGGAACGGGGAGGGGGAACTAATGATAAGAGAAGAGCGAATGAAGTTTAGAAAAGAGAAGAGAGAGGAGAGAGTAAAAAAAAGTACGAAAAAAGGAGGGGGAGGGAGAGGGATAAACTGGCGAGGGGAAATGGGGAAATGGGCGCTAGCTGGTGAGGGGATGTGGAATAAGGGAGGGGGATAAATTGGCGTGGGGAAATGGGAAATAGGCGCTAGCTGGTGAATGGATGGGGAAGAGGGAGGGGGACAAATTGGCGTGGGGAAATGGGGAACTAGGCGCTAGCTGGTGAATGGATGGGGAAGAGGGGAGGGGGAGGTGCCTATAAGGAGTGGACTCACAAATGCGTGGATGCCTTGGTCTTTATAGGAAAGATAAAAAGGGCATCAGATCCTATTGTCGTTGATAGGAAGGGGTTTACCTGCTAATTACCGTTGGGGGGGAAGAGGGGGGGCGAAGGTTTACCTGCTAATCTAAAACGGCAGAGATCGGTTTGCCTACTGATTAATGGTGATAAGTTGCATCCAACAACTGATTTCATATACCTGAATTTGAACACATTTGCTGCTACGATAAACTGACTTTAGATTCAGTATATATGACTTTTTAAAATAAATATACCAGGCCTTGAACATAGTTTCTGCAACTAATTAAGTGATTGGCTTTAGATTCAGTGTATACGAATTTATACACATGATTTTTTTAAAATCAGTATACACCTGACTTTGAACATATTTCCTGCTACAATACACTGAATCTGCGTGACTTTAGATTCAGTATATATCCATTTTTTTCTGCTGACTCCTTGTGCTAATTCTGTTAATCATGTATGGAAAACCTTCATAGAGAACACAATCTGCTAGTTTATTGAACAGCTGTGGAGTGATGCCATCCAGTGAGTCGTTCGTATGCTTTGCAAGGATAAAGGTTGATTATATTTTTGTATATTTCAAAAATCAGTTGTATATATTTCTATGACATTAAATATATATGTATATATATTTCTATATGTCATAGGAATATATATATATATATATACATATATGAACTTCAAGATAAATCTGATTATTATAATGTTCAATATATTTCCTAAATCTCTCATTATACAATTTGGATAATTTCGTTCTTTAGCATATCTTATATCACTTCACAGGAATAAAATGAGGTGCACGACAGAATACACAAAGCCAGCGAAAGCGTCCAATCGACCACACGAATCATAAACAAAATGACCCTAACGTCCCCCCGCGGCGCCATTCTTCGCCCGAACCAAAACACAAGCGGAAACAGACGCATCAAAACAACGCCTCCGAAACAAGTGACGGTCGAAACAGCGGGAAAGGCTCGATCAGTAGCAACTCGAGGTGTCGTCATGGCGCCTGTTTTGATTATTGTTCAGTGAAGATATAACCATTAAAATCATTATTTTCCATCCTTTTTGAAAATTGGAAAGACCAAAATGATCGACCGTATTCACAAAGCATCCGTTAATTTTTATGACGTCATCAAATTAAACCCGATATGTTTTGTTTCCCAAAAATAGAATTAGACGCCATGACACCTCCTCGAGTTGCTACTGATCTAGCCTTCCCCCGCCTTTCCCCCGCCTCCCGAACAAGTCGAAACAAAACGTCACTCACCGACGCAGGGGTTGAACCAGAGGATCCGCTGCCAGTCTATGCAGGTGTAGGTCTCTCTGGGTCCCGTGGCCGCGCAGGTGCAGAGGTTGCGCAGCTGCGTGCCCAGGATACCCAGCACGGCGCGTCTGCACTCGGCTGTGGGGCCTGCGCAGCGGCGGGTGTCGCTGTCCACGGCGCACGCCTGCTCGTAGAACTCGAGGCGGTGTCTGGAAGAGGAGGGCGGGTGGGTTCCTGTTCTGGACTTGTTTTACTTGTTTATTTCTATCCCTATGCCTATAACTATCCCTCTGTTTTTTTTCTTGTCGGAGAGTTTATTTTTTCTTGTCAGAGAGAATTTTCATTATTTTTATCAATATTATTTATTTTTTAAATTTTATTTCGTTCTCTTCTGATAGAGGTTTTACATTTTCTAGAATTTGATTTTTTTTCTCTTCAATTTTACTATATACTGATCTCGTCTTGATGTTCTCTCTTCTTTTATAGGTACATCATTTGATGTTCATACAGCTTAAGATTTTTTTAAAATCTGATGGATTAAATGAAAGAAAGAGAAAAAAAATATATTTATGCTTTGATGTGATGTTTACTTTTTGATTTTCAAGTCAATTAGTTTTATCACTTTCAACTCAACTTTTAATGTGTTTTCGTTTCAAGGATATTCTTTATATTTATTTCTTCAGAGGAAATTCAATCATATTTCCCTCTTTTCAGCCTTTATGGAATATGATAGCGGGACTGGAAAGTAAGCATGTAAATGTTTACAAATTCTTTATAGAGAAAATATTCACCGATCGAGTTTTAAACCATAACGGAAAAAAAATCAATGAAAATATATAAATCAGTCAATAAAAATATACAAATAAATTAAAAAAACAACAACGATATATATATATAAAAAATTAAAAGATATAAACCCACATTCCCTTACCTGCAACTATCATCCTCCTTGCACGACACAGCGAGTCGGTTGCACAGCATGAGGACCTGCCCGGCCGGCCTGCGTGCACAAGCAGGGTGGAGCTTCTCTTGGGCTTTCAGACACTCGTCGGCGGTGGTGCTGCTCTTCCTGGAGGGCGGGGGGGCAGGGGGGGGGTTACGTAATGATTGTTGGTTAGATTTGCTTCTGTTTGATTTTGATTGATTGATTGATTGGTTGTTGATGGTTTTACTGGTGTTCATGTATCGGTTGTCATTATTGTTTTATGAGAAATATATATATATATTTTTGTTGTTGCCATCATTACAATTACTATTCCTACTACTACTTTCAATACTTCTAATACTGTTACAACTTATATTATGATTATTATTGGTAGTAAAAATACTACTAAAATCATTATGATCATTATTACTGCCATTATCATTATCATTATTTAGCATTATTCATAGCAGTTCTATAACATTTTCCTGTTTTTTTTTCTATTCTTCATTCCTTAAAACCAAAAGCGCCAGTCTGGCACTTATGTATATAGAACTAACATTTACATAAACAAAATGCATACGTGTATATATATCTAATGGCCATAAATAGGTAATTGAAGACATACAAATTGCATATATTATAAAAACTTAAATTGAATCAGCTGCTGTATTGCTGAGGTTTTGAAGTTTAAATCTATTGTTTGTTTTTTTTTTTTTCTTTTCTTTATTGGTTCAGGACTTTTCCCCATTCGCTTTATGAAAGTGGTTGAAATTCAACACCACCACATAAAAAAAGAAAGATGAAAAAATGAAAATTGAAATGAAACTAAAAAAACAAAAAAGAGGAAATGGAGACCGAAGTGACCCCTACAGACTCCAGGCTCCCCCCCCCCCCCGTGAGACCACCTCCCTCCCCCTCCGAAACCAACTCACTTGCACAGGCAGAAAGCCACCTCGTGTCCCCATCGCGTCTGCACGTTGCGGTAGAAAGTCTGCAGCTCGCTCATGCAGGTCTCCCTGTTGCAGCCGTCGTTGTCGCAGCGGGCCAGCACGGGGTCGAGGAGCCTCCTGCAGCTGAGGTCCGCGAGGCAGTCCGTCAGCGCCGTCTGGCAGGTGGAGTGCAGCACAGGGAGCGGACCCGGCGTGGCGTACGTGTTACCTGCGGAGGACTCGCCGGGGTTAGAGCCCTCTCTCGTCACGCTTTCAGCTCTTCCTATTTCTCTTCCTTAGAGGCGTAGGGGAGGAAGCGAAGGAGGATCAGGGAAGAGGGAGACAGCGGCAGGGGTAAATGGGTAATTGGGAGAAGGGATAAAAAAGCGGTTGTTTTTCGTTTGCTTCGAGACGCGGAGAGGAGGCTGGCGAGGGGTTCCCGCTGGAAAGCAATGGGTGAGTTTCGGAAGAGGGGAGATGGAGAGAGGGGAAGGAAACAGGAGGGAGAGACAGCGGGGGGAGAAAAGGGAAAAGATATCGAGCTAGGTAAACAGACGTGGGAAGAGAATCAAGAGAACAAGGGAGAGAGAGAGAGAGTGAGAGGAATAGAAAATAACCAAAATGTAAAAAGAGAGATGGAAGAGAGGTCTGAATAAAGGGCAGAAATGGATAGGGGGATGGATGGAAAGCTAGAGGGATAAGGGAAGACGAAAAAACACACACGCATAAAACAAACAAACAAACAGAGATGACTAAAGACAGATTCTGACTGTCGGACGATATGCACAGCCACTTAAAAAAAGACAGAAAGCAAGATATTTTCGCGCTCACGAAATATCTTTGCCGAGTTTTAATCCCTTCGGCGACACTGATCAGCAGCAAAGATAAGATTAAAAGGAAATTTAATACATCAAATATTCAATATTGTTTTTCGTGTTAGCGGTAACAATAATAATCCAAATACACGTCATATATGTGTGAAGAATTACGAAAGGAAGCCATTCAAGTATTAATATGCATTTCAACCCTTCTCCTTTCTTTTAAATAGATGAAATAATAGTGAGACAATTGTACCATTGGTTACTTTAGTTGTCTGCCATAGTCAACGGCCACACATATACACAGTACACAAAGGAGAACCAGGAGGGAAAAGAAAGGGGAAATTACGATGGCCTGACGATTTTCCAAAGACGAAACACTAACAAAATGTCGAATGAAGTCATATGCGCAGGGATGCGAACGCGAGGGACTTTGCGACGCGATCCGTGTGTTCGATTCGATGCATTTGATCTATCTAACGTTTTGAATCGAGTGAAAAGGGGATATCATGATAATGGCCGAGCGTTGCGTTCAGTAATCCGAAGTAGTCAAGCTGTTTAATTTCACATATTCGCGTTTAAAAGCAATTAGCGCTAAGTGCTGTCCATCAGTATAACGTGCCATGTCAGCGATATATTTTGAGGAAAAATGGGTAATCGATATCGGAATGTATTTGCATTTTTAGTTTTAGTTTTGTTCGGCATTACGTTAATCCTGACATCTATGGTACTGTGTATGCTATATGTATATACGCACACACACACACAGCACTCCTGCTCACTCTCTCTCTCTCTCTCTCTTCTCTCTCACACTCTCTCTCTCACCACACACACACACACTCACACTCTCTACACACACACACACACACTCTCTCTCCCTCCCTCTCTCTCTCTCTCACACACACACACACTCACACATACAAACGTTTTTTACATACATGTAAATACACTTCTATACTCTCTCACTCTCTCTCTCTCTCACACACACCTCATTCAGTTGCGTATTCATACCAGCTACAACGCAATCCAGCTGACCTTCCCTTTACAAATCCACGTGACCCACAAATTCTTAATCCATCCATCCATTACCTAAGGCAGACGAATCCCCACACTGACCGCGACGAGAAAGCTGATAGATCGAAGGCTTTACTTTACTAAGGTCATGTTTAAAATAAAAAAGGAGACGCATTTTTGACTTTAAAGAGGAAATGGAATGAGTCATTTAAAACAACAAATGGATATGGTGGTCGAGATCTGTACTTTGGAGAACAAGAAGAATGTAGCAACTTAAAAAAAGGGCAAAACGGACATTCTGAACAGAGAACTATTTCTTTGCTGAACAGGAACAACGTTGTTATTGCGAGAAATACAAATAGTATTCCTTGGCTTCTCTAAGAAAGGTGTTGGGTTTGTGAGCGAGTGGGGAAGAGCTGTAATATGCACCGGGGGGGGGGGGGGGGGGATCAGATATCGGGAATTTTATCCTCATCCGGATTTTGAGAATCCATTTTTCGTGTTCTGGAAATCCACACACACACACACACGCACACACACCACACACACACATACACACACACACACACACACACACACACACACACACACACACAGCAACACACACACACAGAACATACACAGAAATACTTTCATCGCGGTGTCAATTTATATTTATATTTAAGAAGGAAAAGTGTAACTGTATCTAACTCTCAAACTGTGTACTTATATATCTAGATTTACGCGTACCTACCTATATATTTACATCTTATATTCATATACTTCTACTGATTTACCTTTTCACACTTATTTACATTTATTAATCTTCATATCTTTCCTGTGGACCTTAGTTTTAAAATAAGGGTTCCTGCTAATGGGGTGCTACATATATGCTGATATACGCTTTGTGATCTATCATAAGATCAAATTACATATCTTACTGTATAGTATATTTTTCTATGCTTGGCGGCATCTGATTTCTCGACTAAACCATATAATATAAAAACAGAGAAAAATGAAAATCTTCGCCAATTCATAAATTTTCCTACAACGAAGAAAAAATCGATTCTACTTAGATTCTGCGCCTGAGAATCCTGCAATCTCTCACAGCAAACCCTTCTCAAAGGCATTTAGTCAACGTCTAAAAAAAGAAAAAAAGAAAAGCAAACTGATTACCGAGCATCAATCGCGATCCAGCTGACACAGGAAGGAAAAGAAGCGAACAAAATACAAACAGAAGTGAAATCTCGAGTAAACAAGGATTCGGAACGGATTCGAACGCGACGGAACTCGGGTGTCGATTGATCGGCGGACGTGACGTGTCCGGCGCTGCAGTTGGAGCCTGTGATCCCCCGAGATTACGAAATGATCTTTGCTTCGGCTTTAGTACTCCATATTAACATATACCGGCTAACATTAATTGAATAATCGTGGGAAAGTCTTTTTTTTTTCATGACAAGCACACGCGAGTGGGTTTCTCATCACTCCCAAGTTGCCAGGATCAAAATCAATTTCCTTCTGCAAACACTTCAACTGCACACACGAAAATATAAAGTCAGTCAACAACTCGTCGTTCAGTGTATTTTACAGCAACAGCGACAGTCGATCTATAAACTACATCAGCCATCAAAATTCACTTTCACATAACGGAAGAATCCTCAGGAAAACTAAGTACATACAACACACAAATCCCCTGAAATGGAAGAAAAATGACACTGATAAATCATCACACATTATTTATACAATAGCACGACATGAAATGATAAAAGACGCCACGATATACTGAGAAAAAACAGAAAGTGTAGAGGCTGTGGACAGGATACACCAGCCACCATCTTCAGCGCAGCCAGGCGTAGGAGCAAGGTATTGAGCTGAGTGTGTTGTTGAAAGGATTATTAGTACATTCTAGAATAATAATTAATCATGAAATATCCTTCGGTTTGCTGCTTAGAGAAGGGGAAGAGGGGGAAGAGGTAAGTGTAGATAAAGGGGAAATCCTGAAATACTGAAAGAAGGATGGTTATCAGTTTCTCGTTACATTCGAAAATTCCTTTTTTTTCTCTCGTACAGTCAGACAGGAAATAAAGCAGATAACTCAGGGCTAAGAAGCAGACCAAAGGAGATATTACGAGGAAGAGAAACAAGAATAGAAAACCAATAAAAAAAACACAAAACCATTACATATAAAGAAGAAGAGTCAGAAAAAGAAAAAGAGGGAAAAACAAATACACGGGATAGGAAAACAATACGATAAACGAGGGAGAAACGAGGAACAAAATAGAATAGTCTCGCCTCCACTGCTTCCTGGTGAGGTGGGGTGTAAAGCTCTCGAAACGAAAGAGTCTCCCCGTGAAACGCAGCCAGATGCTTCGGGAATCAAAATGACTATTTATTCCTTCAAATCGCGATGTTGTGTCTATTTCCGCCGTTATGTTATCTCTCCTTCTGGCTGTGTTTTCTTTAACAGGGACACTGGACAATGCGACTTTTCTTTCTCTCCATTTTTTTATCCATTTCCAAAAAAAAAAAAAAAAAAAAAAAAACAAAAAACAAAGAAACAAACACACAAACACGTCAAAGTCCGAGCTCGTGAAAAATAATCAACAACCCACTAGCACTTTGGTCAAATATATATGGATATAATTCTGCAAATCCATGAAAAAGGGGGAATACGTTACAACATCGACATACAAAAGAAGAAGAAAAACACACACACACACACACAAACGACACACGAGGCAGTACCTACTATACGGTGATATGAAAGTCATTTCTCTTTCATGTTCAACGGGGTAGGAAGTGAGTGGGATAGATGGGTTTATTTGTGGAGATAGATAGATAGGGATATAGCGACAGGCAGGTAGGATGGATGGATAGATAGATAGAGATAGATAGATAGATAGAGAGAGAGAGAGAGAGAGAGAGAGAGAGAGAGAGAGAGAGAGAGAGAGAGAGAGAGAGAGAGAGAGAGAGAGAGAGAGAGAGAGAGAGAGAGAGAGAGAGAGAGAGAGAGAGACGAGAGAGAGAGAGAGAGAGAGAGAGAGAGAGAGAGAGAGAGAGAGAGAGAGAGAGAGAGAGAGAGAGAGAGAGAGAGAGAGAGAGAGAGAGAGAGAGAGAGAGAGAGAGAGAGAGAGAGAGAGAGAGAGAGAGAGAGACGAAAAGAGAGAGAGAGAGAAAGACGAAAGAGAGAGAGAGAGACGAAAGAGAAAGAAAGAGAGAAAGAAAGAAAGAAAGAATGAAAGAGAGAAAGCGAAGAAAGAGAAAAAATACGAAAGAGAAAAAACGAGACAAGAGAAAAAGAAAGAAAAAAAAGAAAGAAAGAGAGAAAGAGAGGGAGAAGAGAAGAAGGGAGGTCAGGGCGGACGAAGGGTATTACCACAACACCAACAGACATACCATATCAGACATTAGAAGAAGG